GAAGTGCCTGCATGTAAAATATTTCAAATAAAGATTTATATTTAATATTTATTTTGATATTTTCAAAATCGGGTATGATATACCCATGGTTAGTAGTGATGTAACTTTAATTAATGGTTAGTGTTCTAGGGTTAATTACAACCGCAAATAAATACTTAACAAGAACAAAGAAGTCAACCAAAGATAATTAACCATTTCAGTGAATGCCTTGTTAGTGACACGGCTCTGGTTAACGTTCGGTAAATCCTAAATCAAAACCCAAATCATCGATGCAGAATAATTCACACTAATTCGACTGGATAGTTCCACTCAATAGTCACTAAATAATCACTCCAGTCAGTAGCCTGACACCGCTATTTATACACCTGGTGGAAAAATATATATTCATAAGTCCAGAGTGTTGCGATCGAACCTCGGTGTCAGTAGTTACTTATTTTCTTCCTATATCACACACACACACACACACACACACACAACACACACACACATATATATATATATATATTCAAACAGGTTTGGTGAAATAATTTAGTCATATATCGATTAGTTTTCGTTGTGATTCTTTCAAGTTCACGGATTAATTTCTTGATAGCCTGAGAAAATAGATTAAGAAAAATACCAAAATATTCTTTCGAATAGTTTTTATTTTACCAAGTATTTTCAATCTCATCTGAGACCATCTTCAGGGGGTTAAGTTGTCTGTGAGTATGCATATGTGTTTCTGTAAATTCAAAACATTTCAAATGTTTGTTTTTCTGCTTATGCAGTGTTCTAGATTTCAAAGTTCACGTGTTTTTTTTTGTCGGCATTTTCTTCCTATATGACATATAATGTTTCTCTTTTTCTTATTCTTTCACTCTCAGCAAACCCCTGTATCTGAATGAAACTGGTATAAAAAAGTAAATTTATTTCTCTTTAAAATTACGAAGGTTGATTGATAAATAAGGTCTCCAATCGTCGAAAACAAGTTTAAAACCAGATAGAATAATGAATGAGGACTTATTTACAAATGAATGAATTTATTTTATAAATGTATTTTATATATAAAATCATGGTAAAATCCTTTTTCTACGTCTGTTAACCCCCACTTATTTAATTTTATGGAATTGTCGAGAAATTCATTTTGTACAGCTTAATGTTCATGTTAGTTAAAAGCAAAAGTCCTTGGAGAATATGTCATCAATTTCTTTTTGTAAAACAGGACTCCCAGTTACCGAAAATTTTGCTCTGAATCGTAAAATGAAAAAATCAATAAAGCTAAGACATTATTTAATTAGAAAAGCATTTAATTGCTTTTATGAATAAGTTATGGATACTAATGTCTTAAGGAAAAAAAATCGATGAATAATGAATTTTACAAGAATTGTTTACACTTTAAAATTTTAAATAGAATAATTCATAAAGTTTTAAATCTTTTAAGTTTCTGTTTTTACTTAATAACAATATTACTTAACCGGTACAATTTCTGAAATTGTACCGGTTAAGTAATATTGTTATTAAATAAAAACTATATTTTCTAACCATAAGTGGGAAAGCTTATTACGATTCATCATTATTTTAAAAGAATTTTGAATTCTTTTGTATTTATAATCGTCCGGAATTTTGTAGATACGGATGATCATACACGACATTGTCAAATATTAAGAGCAATAACTATAGTAAAATTTAATAAAACATTAGATTACTTAGAATATTTTCCTAATTTTTTTTGATTATTGCGTAGTTAAAAATTATATAAAAAGGTGCTCATGTTATATTCCCAGACTAATTTTTACAGATATGAGCACCGTAGAAAAAATTAGATAAACTTCCGTCTGTTAGTCAAGCTGTCAACACCTTAAATCGACATCGACCGCCGTGGTAAAAAAAAAAAAAGTATTTCTACGATATTTTAAACTTAAAGTAATATTTGTTTCAAATCAGATTAATTAAATTTTAAATCAGCTAATATTGCTCAAATAAAGTTTGAGAAAATTATTATTTTTTTTTTTTTAAAGATTTTTAAACGAAGAGAATTACATTCTGATGATGGATAAAAATGGCACTAAAATCAACGATTATCAGCGATTTCCAAACGAAAATATTTTTCAGTCAATTTAAAATAGTTTTGAAATACATCGAAGTATTTTAGTTATTGCAAATATTAAATTTAATCTATTAGCGTGAAATTAAAACTAAAATTAAAGCTTCAAGAAAGATTTTCTATTAAAAATTCATTTGAAACCTTAGGTATCGCGTTTCTGTGGAGGTACACACACACACATATATATATATATATATATATATATATATATATATAATGGACATTGAAGTCAACACACAGAAGCGAGAGTCTGTTTCATGAGACGATTGCTTTCAAGCATGAAACAGACTGTCGCCTCTGGGTGTTGACTTCAATGACAGTTTTATTTTATAAACGCTCTATCCTTGATATTGAGCACTTTAATCCATAAATATAGCATACCTTAAAACTATATTTATATATATATATATATATATATATATATATATATATATATATATATGTGTGTGTGTGTGTGTGTGTGTGTGTCAGTCACTTTAAACGTTATTTTATTGGATATTTCTATTCCGAATATTCAGGCCGGTTGGTGAAAATAATTAAGTATACTTTTAATGAATAAACGAATCTATCTCAAAATACCATTATCCAGTAAAAATAACGTCCGATTAATAAAAATCCATCATATATATATATAAGTCATTTTTATGTTGATACATTCTTTTTATAGATACAAATATTTAAGTAAATTCTCTGTTTATAATAAACAGTATTAAACAGCATTTACCGGTCTGAATGTCCGAGAAATTTTCATAGAAAATATTCGTCCTCCGACAGGATTCGAACCTGCATCCTATACGGAACTGTCGTATAGCCTGACGTGCCTTTAACCGATTTGGTCACAGAGGAGCGTTGGGTTAGCAAGGTCGATTTTACTGTCTTTAAACTACAATCTTCCATGATTCTCTCACGTACATTCATATCTGGTCATTTCTCAATAATTTTGGACTTTGTCCATTTTTTATATATATATATATATATATATATATATATATATATATATATATATATATATGTGTGTGTGTGTGTGTGTTTAAGTAAAAACATATATATATATATATATATATGTATGTTTCTTTTCATAAATATATATATATATATATATGGATTAAATCCGAGTTGTTTCTTTCTTAAACACACACACACATGTGTATATATATATATATATATATATATATATATATATATATATATATATATATATATACTAGTAGCATGGCCTGGCGTTACCAGTGCTTGATTAAAAAAGGATTACGACTTATAGAGCAATCGCTATCACTTGACTTAAAATATTTTTGCCTTTCCTTGCCTTTAAAGGAGTGCCCTTTGCCGTGCTGATGTTGCTACATGCCTTACTTCTTGCCTATCTCACACTGCGAATTTTTTCTAAGCTCTATACTAAACATTAAATTTGTTACTAAAAGAACTAAACAAAATGAAAACAAAACGATCAAAAAGAAAAAAAGGACTCGAAACTGGAAAAACCGAATGAAAAAAGAATGTTAACAACAAATGCTTTTTCACACCAACCCAGAATCAGAATCAACGTTGAGTTTAAAGCAAGCGAATGAGCCAATTGGAGTAAAGTGCACTGCAGATTTAAATTTTTCCCACTTGTGACGAATGCAGCTATCGATTTCTTTTTGCATGCTAGTTAACATTCGTGTCAGTCAGCTGTTGGCTATCACGCTGGCCAATAGAATCTCCCTGCCTATTCCTGGCTGCCAGCTATTGGCTCTCACTCTGGTCAGTACAAAATGGCCGCAAACTACATGAAAACTGCCGTAGACGCATGAAAAAATCGATTATTTCCACTATCGATGTGAGTTGGGAAATGCAAAGTCAGTCTTGGCCTTCCCGTTAACTTGGGGCATGTGCATGTAAATTTTGGTTCAAATCCGTCAAAAATAGCGGCCGTGCATTCGTTACACACACAAACACACATCCTGCCTTTTTTATATATATATATATATATATATATATATATATATATATATATATTTAAGTAATAAACATGTCGGATTTAATCCATATATTTTCAGTTCATATATTCCTGCGTGTGTTTATTGCTTTAAATTTGTATACGGCCAAATTAGGCGGGAGGGGGGCAGCTTAATATTGAGTATGGATGCCCTTCCTATCTTTAAAACCATCTATAATTATTATATGAGGCATTATTTCTTTTGATTTCAGGAACATCAGATAAGCTTGACTGTTGGAGTTTCAGAAAAACAGAAGACACTTTTGGTTAAAACTTCATAGAATACGATTTAAAACATAGAACAAAAAAGAATATTGGCAAAAATCAAAAGATAAAGTAATAAAAGCCAAAAATAAGATTTTCTGGGAACAAGAATAAACAGAAAAGCTGAATAGCTAAAAAAAGAACAAAAAAAGAAAAAACCCCAAAAAGAACCAACCTCAAAACAAAAATCAAAACGAGACACATCCGCCATATTTTCTCAAAATCATTCTTATCGACCGACATCTTTGTCTCTCCATTTCAAAATGGCTGCTCTTGTTCGTCTCTTCATATTTACATTTCTTTTTACTGCAATTTTGCTCGTGGGAACTGAAGCCAGAAAGAAAATCTCAACAGATGTAAGTCAATGACCATTTTGTTTATCTTTCCCGAATTTTTACTTGTTTTGAAAAGTTTCAAATACATTATTTAATGATTTCACCCCACGTAAGACAATAAAGCCACTAAGACACAAGGAGGTTACTGAGCGTGGGAAAATATAAGAAAAAGAAAACATTATTAAATTGAGAGAACTATAAAATAACAAGAAATAAGAAAACAAAAGATAAGGATTGACATTGCGTTTAAATTATTTGAAGATAAAAATTGAATGGAAAGACAGAAGTCGGAAGAGAGTTCCATAAGCGAGAAGAAACTGTTAGAAAATAACTTATGATTGCATCTAGCCATTTAAACTGTGAAAGGATAAAATCTTATTGCTAATCTGGTACTGTGTTTAAATTCATAATATACCAGATACCAAAGAGGGCCGTCCTGGGTATGACGATGAACTACATCCACATCTTGGGTAAGACGATAAACTACGTCCAACAGCAAGGCCTCTGATCAGGAGGTTTGAGGAGCATGGAACCACCTCTTAATTGTTGGTGTTCCCAGGTCCACCTTGACCTGGAGTGGTAGCACCTGTTAGGGTCCCAGTTATGGTTAAGTAGTTAACCCCCAAACTGGAGTCAAAACACTATGAAAGTGTAAAAATAGATTTTAATACTAGAAATACTTTGTAAATAATTATTACCAGCAATTAATTTTGAAGAAAAATTATTACCAGCGATACATTTTTGAAAAAAAAAATTACTAGCAATAAAAATCTTGTCGGCATTAACCCATTGAGGTGTTGATGTGCCGTAAAACAAAACAAATATATACTGAGATAGATAAATATAAATAGACTGAGATAGATAGATAGATAGATAAAAATATTATCAGCAATAAAAATCTTGTCGACATTACATAACACATTGAGGTTGATATGCCATCAAACAAAATAACCAAACAAATAGATAGATAGATAAAAAATATTACCAGCAATAAAAATCTTGTCGGCATTAAATAACCCATTGAGGTGTTGATATGCCGTAAAACAAAACAAATATATACTTAGATAGATAGATGAATAGATAGATAAAAAATATTATCAGCAATAAAAATCTTGTCGACATTAAATAACCCATTGAGGTGTTGATATACCGTAAAACAAAATAAAGCAAACCAAACGAAAGAGGGTAGCTCATAAGAACGATTACTATGAAAGTATTTATAGAAAAGGCAAAGGGAAGCTACATTACACTGGTGGGAAAGTGAATGAAGATGAGATGCCATGTCAGGACATTGCAGTTTCTGCTTTGTATTTTATCAAGAAGTGTTGGAAATATTCAATGAATGAACGAATGGTAGACTTATAAATATGTAAGATAGATTAGTTGGCTAGTGAAATTGTCTTCCACAATAGAGTGAACCAACTTTCCTAGCAGAGGCCCTAACAATTGGTTCAATATAATCTTTCCCCTTCATGTCAGCGAGAAGTCGTAAGGTCTCACTCTGGAGGTTAGCATTATCTATGTTGATGGAAGGCAGAAAAGGTTCTCCCTGGCGGTTAAAAAAGAATAGTTTTGTTTGGGCGGTGTTAAAATTAACAATCCATTTCTTGACCTAGTTAACAACATTTTTGAGCTACTGATTTAACCTTCGCTAATCGATCAGACATATCAATAAGACAGGTGAAATAGTTGTAAACAAATTGTACATTTTGTATGGCGAATACTCACCTGTTCGCGATTCGTTATCTTATTTTTCTACGCTGAAGAAAAAATTGTTTGTAATTTATAAAGATACTTGAAATTTTATTCTCTTGAACTCTAAGAATGCAATATAATTGTCTTATTATAATTGTGCATGTCCATCCCTCCATTAGTTTACACAACTGTTACGTCCTGTCAATACCTCATAAATAATGGATTATTCGTTTTGATCACGTGGGAAGAGAGGAAAAATACTACTTGGTTTCAGTGTGAAAATGAATAAAAGAAAGAAAATAGTATGAAAGAAAGAAACAAAGTAAGAAGTGTTTAACGTCTTCTGCCAATACCTCATAAATAATGGACTATTCCGATTTGATCACGTGGGAAAAGAGAAAAAGATACTACATGGTTTCAGTGTGAAGATGAAAGAAAGATAGACTAAAAGAAAGAAAGAAAGAAAGAAAGAAAGAAAGAAAGAAAGAAAGAAGTGTTTAACGTCTTCTGCCAAAACCTCATAAATAATGGACTATTCAGTTTCGATCACGTTGGAAAAGGGGAAAAGATACTAGATGGTTTCAGCGTGAAAATGAATGAATGAAAGAAAGAAAGAAAGAAAGAAAGAAAGAAAGAAAGAAAAAAAGAAAGAACGAAAGAAGAAAGAAGAAAGTAGTGTTTAGCGTCTCCTGGCAATACCTCATGAATAATGGACTATTCCCTTTTGATCGCCTGGAAAGAAGGGAAAAGTCACTCCTTACTATATTATTGATAAGATAGCGGATTCATTGGAGTGTTTTTTTTTTAATCAGGGATCAAGTATAAACATACACACAATTGCGTATAATTAACGATAATATTTTTTATTACCTGAACAAATTAATTTGAAAGAATACAACAAAAGTGAATCAAAGTGTGTGGCGATATCCTTTTTCTTACATATACGTGTGCAAAATACGCATGAAAAATTGTGAAAGACTTACATTTTGGGAAGAATTCATAATAGAATTATTAGATATACTTGTCTGTATTCAATTAAGTTTAGGACATTAATGTTGAATAATTTCTGTGATTCGCTGGTGTCTAAATGTCTCCACCCCTAGAGGGGAACGAGACACGTTTTGTCTCTACGGCATTTTGTGGGTGAAGAGAGAATAAAAAAAGGAGAATGCGTTCTTTTCATTTATATTGCTTTGGCTACACCTATTAGCAGTCGTTAGCAGAAGTTCATTAACAGACAACTGGGGGTGCATGTGCGTGTGCTAGGGTTGTTTAGACTTCAGAAAAAGCAAGAAAAATAAGATGAAAAATAAACTTGACAAATATTAATAATCATTGATAATGCTTCATCTAAAAAATATAGATAGCACTGGTCTACAACATGAAAGATTCAAAAATAAAAATAGCTAATCGTAGCTAATCTTGAGTCATGGGAAATAAAAATGATATCCAAAATTGTTGATTGGCTTTAGATTTCAAGATATGGTACTAGTGCTATATGTATATTTCATCAAAATAGTTGTCCTTGTCAGGTTAATTATTATGCTCCTAATAACAGTATTATATATAATTACGCTCCTAATAAAATAATTATTATTCTCCTTTCCAGTCAGGTTTTCACATATTTAACTGACCTGTGAAAAATGCCCCATGAATGTTCGAAGAAAAGCTGATAACTACTGTTATGTATGTGGGGAAGTGTTTTTTGCATCTCAAAAGCGTAATATGACTCCTGTTGTGAGAAAGGCTTAACAACTGCATTTTGGATGCAAAATTAGAGACCAAAATAAAAGAATTCTTTTACCCATTTGTAATGAAAATGCACCAAATCTCAGTTACTGAATAACTAGGAAGGAAAAAATCTATGCCCTTCGCAGTGCCCATGATTTGGAGAGTGTAAGGACATTATTATTAATAGGGACATTATTATTCATAGGGACATTATTATTAATAAATAAAACTAAAAATTAATAATAATAATGATAAATATCATAAATAAAATAAAATAAAACAAATAACATTAAAACTTATTAATTTGGTTTGGTTTGGTTTGGTTTACGGCATATAAACCTCATTGTATGACGACAAAATTTTTATTGTAGGTAATATTTTTTCAAGTATTTCTGTTAATATTTTTACAAATATATATTGATGGTAAATTTCTTTTTTCAAAAATGTATTGCTGCTAATATTTTTTTAAAAAATGTATTGCTGGTAATAAGGTATTGTTGGTAATAATTTTTTCTTCAAAAATTTATTGCTCTAAATAATTTTTTACAAAAATATATTGCCAGTATTAAAACATATTTTTACACTTTCATAGTGTTTTAACCTCAGTTGGGGGGTTAACTATTTTCCCATAGCTGGAACCCTAACAGGTGCTACCACCCAGGGTCAATGTGGACCTGGGAACACAAACAATTAAGAGGTAGTCCCACGCTCCTCAAAACCTCCCGATCAGAGTCCTTGCTGTCGGATGTAGTTTATCGTCTTACCCAGGACGGTAAAACTTGTTGAAAAGGAAATAAATAAAACCAAAATAATAAAGGTTATCCCATCATGCAAGAGAAAATGTTTCTTGCTTGAAAACGGATACTTCGTGCAAAAAAAAAAACGCCCAACTTGCTCCCGAAGAGGGCCAAGTTGTCCATCTCCCCTCCTCGTTACCTTGTTTGTCACGAGACGAAAATATTTCTTCCTCTATTACATACAACATTAAAACACATATAACTAAAACACACACACACACACACACACACACACACACACACACACACACACACACACACACACACACACACACACCAATACACAGACATAATGAAATTATATTAAATTTACAACTTAATATGTTTTCAGTGTTATTTTTTTTGTATGTTTTTATTCCTGTGAACACGAGGTTATCTAATCCTTACTGCTATGGCTTCCTTCTGGGAGTGTCTTCTCACGAAAATTGACCTTCCCAGACCCTATAGCTCGGCAATCAGAGTTGGACATTGGGGATATGGGGATTTGGTTTGTTTTGTTTTACGGCACATCAACCTCAATGGGTATTTAATGTCGACAAAATTTTTTATTGCATTGGTAATATTTTGTTTTTATCAAAATCTGTTTTAGGTTTAATTTTTCCTTCAAAATGTATTGCTGGTAATAATTTTTTTCAAAAATATATTTCTATGGTAGAAAGTTAACTATTTACCCATAGCTGGGACCCTAATTGGTGCTACCACCCATGGTCAGGGCGAACCTGGGAGCACCAGCAATTAAGAGGTGGTTCTACGCTCCTTAAAACCGCCTGATCAGAGGCCTTTATAATTTATAGGTTT